CACCCATATCTCCATCTGAGCTCTGCCAAAAACAGAGTCTGAAGCGAGGGTTTGGTGCAGAGCAGGAGTGAGGACTGGGAAGGAAGGGGCATGAGGCAGGGTGGGCCTGGGGAACCCCTGTGGGTCCCTAAGGAACTGCGCACAACATTCCTCAGGACTGTCTACCCAAGAGGAGGACAAGGGGAGCGTCAACCCCCTGGCTAGGTCAGGGGACACAGAGTGCTTGGGCCCTTGGAGACTCACACAACCTGGGGGTGGCTGGGAGCTGGGGACCCAGGGGCAGGAAGTTCAAGACTTCCAGAACCAAATCACATTCAAACAAATGTATGCTGATTCGCTCCCGTGGCCGTCCACCCCCACCCGCTCACTCACCCCAGTCCAGTCACCCTGGCCTCTCTGCTGGTCCAAGATCCCATACCAACCTCAGGGCCTTTGCACATGCCCTTCTCTCTGCTCATGATGCACCCCATCCCCGAGTCTCCTCCCAGCCTCCCTTTCTCCTCTTCAAGGACCTAGGCAAGGGCCATCCTTGTCCAGGAGGCCACCTCCGCCCTGCAATTGCCTCTGCTGCCCCTCACAACCTGAAATTATGTCGTTCCCTTGCAGGTCTGCTGGTTTCCATCCCACCAGACTGGGCATGCCACATGCAGACACAGGTCTGTGCTTGTCCCTGCTATGTTTCCCATAGGTGCTCACTTGCTGGGTGGCCTCACATAAGCCTGCCTCAGCGTCCTGAGTGGGTGCCGCCACTCCAGGTGGGGCCCCTACTCTGACTCCTCTCCAGGGACACCAACTGACACTGGCTGTGTGCACAGGGCAGCGTGAGCATCAACCCGACCAGATTTCCATATGACTAATCTGCATTTCATCTGCTTGGGTCTTTTTACCAATTGTGGGAAAAATAGCTCAATGTCATGGGAGATCCTGGAACAGAAACAAGGAAATTAGCTAAAAATACACAGTAAAATCCATATAAAACTCGGAGTTCAGGGGCGCCTGGGGGGCTCAGTGGGTTAAGCCTCTGCCTTCGGCTCAGGTCATGGTCCCAGGGTCCTGGGGTCGAGCCCCGCATCGGGCTCTCTGCTCAGCGGGAAGCCTGCTTCCCCCTCTCTCTCTGCCTGCCTCTCTGCCTACTTGTGATCTCTGTCAAATAAATAAATAAAATCTTTAAAAAAAAGAAAAAAAAGAAATTCACATAGAACCTATAAGGCAGTCAGTCACCCCAGGACCCTCATGGGGAACTTGAGGGGTGTCCCCTCCACTTCCCGCCTGATTTTACAGAACACACATCCATCTCTCTATAAATGGCACCGAGTCACGCCAAACTTTCTTGACATTTCCACCTAACCCTGTACCTGGGATGACCTGCCGTGTGCAGGGAGCCCCCCCCCAGCTCCCGCCCCCGTCTGCCTCCAAGCCGTTCCCCTTTCTCCCTCCGCCCCCGCCCCACCCCGTCCTCACCCGGGCCTCCAGCCACCTGGCCTTTGCTTGTGCTGTGCCCCCTGCCCCCCTTCTGAGAAGGCCCTCTCCCTCATACCCTCTCCTCGCCACTCCCCTCCTCCTCCGGGTCCTACCTGGAGCGTCCCCAACTCCAGCAGGCGCCCCCCACAACTCCCTCCACAAAGGAACTCAGAACGGCCGTTCAGATGTGGGGCGGAAGCCTTCCCAGGCCCTCCGGGTCCTGGGGGTCCTCAGTGTCCCTACGAAGTGGGAGTGAGGATTCCTCTCTGGGCAGCTCCGGAGACCCCGGGTTCTGGGGCGGGGGGTCGGAGTGTCAGAGCCCCCCACCCTAATCCGGTCTCCTCAGGAGGCTGAAGTATCCCGGGGACCACGTGGCCAGGCCTGAGGCATCACAGGAGCCCGCAGGAAGTTGGGGGTTGGGGGTACACACGGAGGCCACGGGATCTCCTCGTGGGTGTTCCCTGAGCCCCAAGGCCGCAGGAACCCAGCTGACAGCGCATCCACAGGGACCGCGTGGATGGATGCCCCCTCAGGGATGGTCCAGGCTAGAGCTCCGGGTAGGGGACGACACTGACCCCCTGTAGGGGGTCTAAGCCAGGGCCCAGGGGGGTGGGGGAGGGGCCAAGATGCTGCCACACTTGCAGAGGGACCCTCCTGCGCGCCCTCCACCTGCGCGAGGTCTCGGAGCTGAGCACTCCGCCTCCTTCCCTGCGAGTCTGCTGAGTCCAGCTCGGCTGGGCCGGAGGACAGGGGACAGGGCAGGAGACGGGGGCCCGAGGGAAAAGGGGTGGGGGGGCAGGGCCCAGGACACCAGACCTTTCCCCCATTCCCATCTGCCACGACAAGCTCTGTCCCCACAGGCACTAGGACCCCATGCAGGCCCCAGCACCTGCTGTGTCCCCTCCCTGCAGGCCACAGTGCCTGCTGTATGCACTTTCTACAGCACTCATGCCTGCTGTAGTTTACTCACTGCACTGTACAGTGCCTGCTGTATGCACTCCCTGCAGGCCACAGCGCCTGCAGCATACCCTCCTGGCAGTGTGCAGTGACTCTGTGTACACTGCAGACCACAGTGCCTGCTGGATGCACTTCTTCGAAGGCTCAGACTATTACATGAAGTCCCTGCAGGGTGCCGTGTCTACTGTGGACACTCCCTGCAGAGGTAAGCGTCTGCTAAATGCATCTGTACAGGACACAGCGCCGGCTGTATGCACACCCTGCAGAGAGCTCTTTGGACTGGGACTCGGGGAGTGAGGCGCAGCGGAGGGAAGGAGACTGTCCACTTGGTGGCGCCCCTGAGCCAAGCCTAATTTCTTTCTGATGCCCCCAGGCCCCAGGCCCACCGGCCAGTACACAGTTGGTGCTCAGCAGCGGGTGCCTGCCCTTGCTGCCTCCACCCTCCCTCCTGCTGCCCTTTCTCAGTCCCTGTCCAACCAGGCTTAACCTCATCAAGGTCCCCGACTGCCTCTGTCAATGCTGACCCACTGGTCCGCTCTCCCTCCTCCCCGAAGCCCAACCTCCCTAGGCCTCTGGGACCCGATGCACTGTGCCCCCACCCCCGCCACTGGTACTCCGTCTCCACTCCCTCCACACTCACACCACACCCCCATGTGTCAGGACACCCACCTCGTCTCTCTCCACCAGACACGGCCCCTGCTCTCCCCGCCTCTCCCTGCGGGCCCACAGATGTCTCACCGCATACCCCCCCCCAGGAGCGACCTGTGGGTGGGCCCCCAGGCCCCCTGCCGCCCTTCCAGCAGCTCGGGCCACCCAGCTGCCTCCTACCACACCGGCCCAAGGCCACCCCCCATGGAGGTCCTATGTGCTCTGCTCCCCAACAGCAGGGAGCTGCCCGGGGCTCCTCAACCCCACCCCCAACGCCAGCAGCTCTCCCCCCAGGAAGCTGCCGTCTCTTCGCTGCACCCCCCCATCCCGGGCAGGCAGGTGTGGCTTTCCCACCTCCCATGGCTCCCATTCCTCGGCCTGTCCCCGCTCTGACCCCAACTCTTTCCCCCCACCCTGACCCCCTGACTGTCTCTTACCTTCGCCTCTGGGGCTTCGCCCTCCTCCTGGTGGCGATCGCCTCTTCGGCGAGGGCCTTGCTGACCCCCAGCCCCATCTGCGGTGGACCCAGGCTACTGCCTCTGAGTGTCCCCATCGAAGGGGCCTCTACCCTCCCGGGGCCACCTCCCCCAGCCAGGTGAGCTTCTCCACCGCTGTCCTTGCACACAGTAGGTGCTCAGTGAAGTCTGCGTGCCTCAGTGGCATTGAGGGGCCTTCCCCTGAGCTGCTCCGGGCGGGAAGGCAGACAGAGCTGGACTGGTAACCCTCTCCCCGTGGTCGTGGCTGGACACCCCTCAGCGGGCTTCCAGGAGGATCGGGCCGTCCGCTGACCTAGTGACCAGAGGAGCAGTCCACTCCTCGTCCCCTGTGTCCCCATCCCTTCAGCACGGCCATCAGGAAGCCATCACAGTGGGCAGCAAGGAGCCAGGCACGGGGTGGCGAGAGCAGAAGGTGCCTCCTGTTTGCCTGCGTGGGCAGGCCGGGCGGCTCAGAAGCCAAGCTGGGAACAGGTGGGTTGGTGGGGACCCCTGGGGAACTCCCTCTTTGCCAGCCCTCAAAAGAGCTGAGGTCCACTTGGGGGCGTCTCGGTGAAGAACCCTGCCCACCCCACCGCCTGAGCGGGAAAACAGACATCCGAGGCAGAGGACGACTGTTTCGGGGAGTAGGATCCTCTGGGCCCCAGTCTGGCCGAAAAGCCGCTGCTCGCGCAGCCCGCGGCCAGGCAGGGAGGGTGGGAGGCAGGGTGGGGCACGGCCTCTGGTGACAGCAGTGCCCCAGAATGCTCCTGGCAGGGGTGAAAGAGGGGGTTTCCACCCCCCCATGCCCGGCCTCTGGAGCTGAGCCTCTCCCAGTGCGTTGGGGCCCTGCTCCGGGGGTGGCCGGGACCTGGAGGGGGAACCCCAGGGCTACAACCCAGGGGAGAGGGGTTCCTCAGTAGGATGTCCTTGAGGGAGGGCTGGAGGGAGAACCAGGGGAGAGGGGTACTAGCCGGGAAAGGGGACCCTCGCGGGGAGGCTATCTGGGCGTCGGTGGAAAGGAGGCAGCGGCCCGGACTCCCGGAACCATGGCAGGGCCACCTCGGTTCTCGCACATTCCCCGGCCCTGAGCGTGGAGCCCGGAATAGCAGCTCCCCGGTGGGGGGCAGGGGCGGCCAGTTCCCGCACGGCTCCCCCGCCCTGGGCTTTCCAAGGTCACCGGGATATGGACGCTGGAACACCAGGCCGCAGCTCCGGGGGACCGGACCCCGCGCGGGGCAGTCCCCTGCCATAGACTCGCGCCGAGGCGCACAACGGCCGCGCGGGGGCGCACGGGGCTACCGTCCCCTCGGACCCCAGCCTGGGCGCGCCCTGGGAAGCCGGGTGGGAGGGGCTGCCCCTGGCTCCCCCACCCCGCCCCTGGCTCCCCCCCGCCCCTCCCCGCGGGCCCCGCCGCTTCCGCTCGTCCTGGGGCCGCCCCGGGAACCAGGACGTGCCGCCTGGGCTCTGCGTAGCCGGTAAGTCCCTCTGCCTATCCTCCCACTATCCCGGCCCGCGTCTCCTCCCCGTCCCAAGGCCCGGTCCGGCTAGGGGCTGGCCTGGCAGCAGTCCCCAGGGTGGGAGAAAGCTCATCACCACTTCCTCCTGGGGAAACTGAGGCCTAAGAGGCGTGGCTCGCCTTGGGATCACACTTGCCGTCAGGAGTGCCGCCAGAATGAGGTGCGATTGCCCGTCCGGGAGGGGTCTCTGGGGAGTAGAAGGATGGTGCTTCTAGCCCCTCAGTTCCCCCCACCTAGACCCCCACCCCTCAAGCCAGCGCAGAGTGTGTGGGGGGAAGAGGGGGTGTCAGAAGGCCAAGCCCTCTCGCCCTCCAGCAAACTTCTTCCCAGCCAGCTAGGGCTCTGGGTTCAGAGAGGGGCAGAGATGCAGCTGCTGCTCAGCTTTGGGCAGAGAACGGGACCTGCCCAGTGGTCCCCAAGATTCTCAGCTCCTGGAGCCACCGTGGACTCCAGTCCCTGATGTCCCAGGCAGGACTGTCAGAGCCAGGGCCTGAGAACCGGGGAAACTGGGGCTCCAGGGGGCCCAAAGGCTCTGCTGGTACAGGACCCGTGCCCAGGACCTTGGGGCTGGAGACCTTCAGCTTGTCCTTCGCGTCCTCTGGGCTCTGCTGACCACCAAGCAGCCTGGCCGTGGCCTGAGAAAGGACGCACAAGGTGGCCACTTCCCTCCCCCTTTGTCCGGCAATGTCACAGTCATGAGGCAAGTGATTTCATCCTTCCCCGGACGGATAGGGAAACTGAGGCCCGGGGGGGCAAAGTCTGCCCCCCCAGATGCCTCCCTTTTCTCCTGCGCCATCCTCATCAGTGGCCCCTTTCCCTCTGCAGGCCGCCCTTGGTGGGGCCCACAGCGTCTGCACATGAGGTCACGAGTCGGCGACTGGACTGGGGCCAGGTCACCCCCCTTGTTATCCCTCAATCCAGGGGCTCCCTGCTGCTGCGGGTCTGGGAGCTGAGGTGGCCCTGGAGGCCCAGGTCCAGCTTCTGCCAGGGACTCAGGCCCTGACCCGGTCCCCACCAGCCACACCTCTGCAAAGTCCCTCCTAGAGCCCTGGACTAAGTCCAGCTGGTCCCCCTGGCACGGATGGGGAAACTGAGGCCCAGGGAAGTGGACTGGCTGGCCCTTGGCTACACAGGAAGGTAGAAACGATGACGGTGGGGTTAGCGGTGATGGGGCCCTGACCCTGGGGACACCCATGCACTGTCCTGGAATGATCGGACACAGATTGAGCACCTACTGTGTACATTAAGAGACGACACAGTAAGAATTAAAGATGATATTCTCTGAGCTCGGCCTCTCCACTACCAAGTTCTGTGCCTCCCATCTTTCTGACCCGATTGGATGGACCCCTAAAACTTTTCTGTAACGGGGGCTCTGTTATTACCCTACTTTTCAGAGACGAGAACAGAGGCCCAGAGAGGTTAAATTATTGCCCCAAATCACACAGCCAGTTGGGGCAGAGCTGGGGTTCAGACTCTGGCCTGCTGGCGCCCCCACGGCAGCGCCCTCGGTGCCCCCCCACACCCCGCCCCCTCCAGAACCTCCTTCTGCTGTGGACCTTCCTGAACTGTGGTTTAGGAGGCGGTGCTCAGGTAAGCGGGGGCATTCCAGGCAGCCAGTGGACTTAGAGACCTGGCCGTGGTCTGGGGGCCACCAGGCTCCTCTCCAGGCTGATGGTGCCTCTCCCTCCCCAAGTAGGGTCCAGGTGAGTGGACCCCGTGGGGTTCCTGGAGTCGCTGTTCCAGCTCCTGCGGGCGGGGTCTCTCCGTGCGCAGCAGGCGCTGTGTCTGGTGAGCGCCCAAATTGGCCGGTGGGGTGGGGTGAGAGGGGGGTGTCCCGCCCCACTCCTGGCCGCACCCTCAGCCTGCCCACACATGCTGTGCCTTTTAATCCCACTGATCCAACTGGAATGTGGGTGGGGTTGGCCGGGCCAAAGGGGGGGTCAGGCCAGCTCTGGAGAGAAGGTTACTGGGGGGTCCTGAGCACACTCTGGCCATCTTGCTCCTTGTAGGTTCCCTGGGGAAGAGCCGTGCTGGGGAGACTCCCACGAGTACCGTCTCTGCCGTTTGCCAGTGAGTGGTGTCCGCCTCCCAGACCCTTAGCTGGGCCTCGAAGACCTTCCATCTCCCGGGTTGGGCCCCCAGATACACTTGCCACCCTGCCAGGTTCTCTAGGCTCCCCTGGGGCTCTCCCAGCCTCGGACCTCTGTTTGTCCTCAGGACTGTCCCCTACGGGCCATTCCCTTCCGAGACCTCCAGTGTGCCGTCTACAATGGTCACCCTGTCCTTGGCAGCCAGAAGACTTACCAGTGGGTGCCCTTCTATGGTGGTGAGTCGCCTTCCCTCCTGTTGGTCCAGAAGAGGCAGGGAGAGGGGCAGGGAGAAGGGGCTGCTAAGGAAGCAAGAGGCCTGGAGGACTGCAGGAAGAGAACTTGAGCGCTGGGGCTTTGAAGGGCATGTAGGAGTTCAAGCGACGCGGGGATGGGGGTCCAACATGGCCTGTGAAACAGGAGCAGGGGGAGGCAGGGTCTGTCCTGCTCAAGGTTGAGCGCCAGGCTGAGGATTTACTTGGAGCTGTACCCGGAGGCCAAGAGTTCTCAAACTTGTCCCAGTAGCAGGAAATGTTACTGCATTTAGCTGAAGGCAGCAAGTTACATAACTGTGTGCCCAGGGCAGCGTGCCTCCAGGGAAACAGGCAGCTTTAGACACAGTGGAAGCAGACACAGATATGGAGAACATTCCATCTGTCGAACTCTGGGGTTTGTTTTTGAGAGGGTGGGCTTTTTTCCCCCCCTAAGAATTAGAGGAAATTTGCTGTGATCCCACCCCCGCA